TTTGCCTAGTGTCCCATCAACATTCTCACTGGAGTCCTTGAACTCAGAATCCTGCACAGTGATATCCAGAGCGGGCTTCCTCACATTTGATCTGTGATCAAGGTCACCACTTTATGCATCTCCTGGAAGTTGACAGCAACAGACCCTTCTGGAGAGATGTCTCATTGGAGACGCATAGAAGGAGATTGTTTAACTCAAAGCATTTGTGGACTTCCACTTCATAAACCTGTCACCATTCGTAGGGATGGCTAGTAATTAACACCAGAGTTAATTGGTTGCCAGAACTATTGAGGAGTCTATGATATCCTAGCCAGCAAAGTAAGGGATGTTACCCACCAGAGATCTGTTTGGTGGATAAAAAAAAATTGAGCCTCTAGATTTAGAAGCTAGAAAGTGATTTTTTGTTAGTTTTGTTATTGGTGGCCAAAATCCTAGTAGTTCGTTCATTCATTCATTCATGTATGAATGTACCAATTGACGTTCATTCATTCATTCATTCATTCATTCATTCATTCATTCATTCATTCATTCATTCATGTATGAGTGTACCAACTGTCTTAGTCTGCATGGAATGAAATAAAATTATATTGGACCAAATGAAAATAATCCCTTAAAGTGGAAAAACCGAAACAACCTCACATACCTTTTGATTACTAGTAGCAGAAGCAGCAGCAGGGAGCACCTGGAAGCACCCCTATGGGGGAGATGTGTTTTCTGATATGGAAGTTATCATTGCGGTGTGGTGAACAGAGCAATGGACTAGGACTCTGAAGAACAGGGTTCGAATCCCCACTCGGCCATGGAAACTCACTGGGAGAGTGGAACTGGTAAAACCACTCCTTAAATATCTCACTTACCTTGAAAGCCCTCTTAGGGTTGCTGTGTCGGTTCTGATTTGACAATACAGAACACACACAAGGGCAAATACAAAAAGAATTACACAAAGGAGCTCTTCCACTTTCCTCTCTGAATTATAAGGCAGGAGAACAGAATGGGTGTGTCAAGGACGCTGGTCTCCAAATGTTAAAGCACTGAGTGGGTGGGTGGAAATATCAAGATGTCTAACTTGGGGATTCTTCACATACTACTTACCTATGATGGGATAAGTCAAAGGTGTAAATCACAGCAGCAAATTGCCCCTTGCGAAGACGTCAGTGGTTATATTTCTCATTTTGTGCCAAGTGGTATGACTGAAGTGTGACAAGGAATAGAGGCACTCCTTAAAAATACCAATTAGCCACTGCAGTTTAGACCATCGGACTTAGACCAGCGCGCAGAAATCATAGGATTCAGGTCCTTGTTTTTCTTAGAATCTCAGTGACATCTTCATCTCACCTCAGCATCTCATTGGTTGAGAATACTTTGACCTCATCAGATGCGGGAAAGTTGCATCCTTCCATTTCGTCCTCATTCGTCCCCCCCACTCCCCAAATTGGGTGGAGCTCACCAAGAGCTACAACCAAACTTCATTTCAAAAGCAACTTCGTTGAAAATCACTTCTCTCCAGGAAATCTGAAGAAACCCATTAACAAGTATGGAGAACTCAACTTCTCTGCTGGAGATTTTCCTCTAGAGATAGAAGAGTTTTTTTCTTTTTGTTTTATCATTTAAAGCTAATTGGCAAATTAATTGGAAGCTTCCAAGTGGAGGCTCTGATTTGCAGAAATCAACCTTCTCTGGAACTTTGCAGCTTAACCAAGGCTACACAGGCTGGCTGTACTCACAGGAGGGACAGGAGGGAATCAAACTCGCCAACGCTGGCTCTGCAGCCGGATACCTAAACCACTGAGTTGTCCAGCCAGCTCTTAATTGCATGCCATCAAGTCAATTCTGACTTCAGTCAACCCTTTCCAGGGTTTTCTAGGTAAAGAATACTCAGAAATGGTTTAGCATTCCCTTCTTCTGGGGGGCATCCCTGAGACTGTGCAGCTGGCCCAAGGCTACCCAGGCTGGCTGTATTTGCAGGAGACACAGTAGGGAATTAAATTTCCAACCTCTGGCTCTGCAGCCTAAACCACTGAACTCTCCAGACAGCTATGTCTGGCACACAGAGTAGACTTCAGTCTAGATGGGCGGGATATAGGTAGGTAGGTAGGTAGGTAGGTAGATAGATAGATAGATAGATAGATAGATAGATAGATAGATAGATAGATAGATAGATAGATAGATAGATAGATAGATAGATAGATAGATAGATAGATAGATAGATAGATAGATAGATAGATAGATAGATAGATAGATAGATAGATAGATAGATAGATAGATAGATAGATAGATAGATAGATGGATGGATGGATGGATGGATGGATGAATGGATGAATGGATGAATGGATGGATGAATGAATGCCATATAATTAGTGTGGGGGGATACCAACAACATCAAGCAGGTACATTGTGGAAAGCAGGTACATTTTTCTTAATGGCTAAAGTTTTGTTAATGAATGAATGAATGAATGAATGAATGAATGAATGAATGAATGAATGAATGAATGAATGAATGAATGAATGCCATATAATTATTGGGGGGGGGATACCAACAACATCAAGCAGGTACATTGTGGAGAGCAAGTACATTTTTCTTAATGGCTAAAGTTTTGTTGCGTAGCATAGCAAGTCAGAACAAGAGTCGGCTCATTTGAAAGAATGAAATTTACAGAGGAGTTGACTGGCCAGATCCCCAGTGATTCAATGGGCCTAATTCACCACACTAAGCAACAGGATCTAAGCCAATGTATATATTTTGTGTAATTTCCCCCCGTCGACTGAAACATGTTTATACGCCTTTCCCCTCAAGATACATAATTGTGTGCGCATTTGCTTTGTGCATAGTTCTGCTGAGAAAAAGAAAAGAAGAATCTGAAACCTGCCATTTTCTCCTGGCGATGCAAGATGGAAAGATACCTACGCTCTTCAGTTAACAGTCTAGGAGAAATTCGGAACAAAGGGTGGGGAATGCTACCTTTCTGGCTGTGTTTGAGCATTGGGTAGCCACCGCTACGGGCCCCTCAACTTTTTTTCTACTTCTTTTTTGCTGAGGAAGTCCAGCAAGTCTCAAGCAGCTGTCTATTATCTGGAGACTTTCCATGCTAAAAGGACCAAAGCGAATTGTAAACGGCTCGGAAAGAAATGAAATCGAGTGTGTGGGTGTGTGTGAAGAAGGAACAAAAGCCTGAGACGCCACAGCAAAAGACCTTTTCTAACTCTGGGGATAGTTAATGGAGTAGGCAACATTGGTTAATTACCTACTATGAAACTGAGCCACTCAAAAATGAATTTTTAATGGTAAAGCAATGCACTCTCCTAGCAGTGAATTCGTATTAAGCAAGGAAAACAGGAGAGTCTTCCAGACCAAACTCCCCCCTCAGTTGCATTAGTACTGTGCCAGCTGTTCAACAAACAGTTACGCAGACGACAACACAATAAGGGCAATAAGGACAAGGAAAACAGGAGAGTCTTCCAGACCAAACTCCCCCCTCAGTTGCATTAGTACTGTGCCAGCTGTTCAACAAACAGTTACGCAGACGACAACACAATAAGAGGAAGCAACAAGACAACTGCAGAGTTAACTTTGCAAACATGTACAAATGCTATGACCATCATCAAGAGAAGTATAGTATCTGAGCTTTTTCCAGCCTGGTTCTCTGTGATTATGCCATCGCACAAATCTTTTCATCCTCAGTCAGGGTACACATCTGGAAGGCAATGGCCTCCGAAGGGCTGCATTAGCTTACATTAGTGGTTCCCAACCTTGGGTCCCCAGATGTTCTGGAGCCTTGAGAAAAGAAGAATGAGGAGAGATATGAAAGCACTTTTCTGATACTTGAAAGGCTGTCGTTGAGAGGATGGGCAGGATCTGTTCTCAATCATCCTAGAGTGCAGGACACACAACAATGGGCTCAAGTTACAGGAAGCCAGATTTAGGCTGAATATCAGGAAAAACTTCCTAACTGTTAGAGCCGTACGACAATAGAACCAATTCCCTCCAAGAGGTAGTGGGTGCTCCAACCCTGGAGGCATTCAAAAGAAAATTAGACAACCACCTGGCAGATATCCTTTGATTTGTATCTCTGCCTTGAGCCAGGGGTTGGGCTTGATGGCCTTATAGGCCCCTTCCAACTTCATGATTCTCTGATTCTTGGACTAAAACTTCACCGCTAGCTGTGCTGGCCAAGATTTCTGGGAGTTGTAGTCCAAGAACATGTGAGGACATAAGGTTGAGAACCTCTGGCTTATATGAAACTGCCTGTTACCAGATTAGATCACTGATCCATCTCTGAGAGCTTTGCCCGTGATGGGTAGAGGCTTGTTAGGGCTTTACATCTTTCCTAGCTTTATCTGGAGATGTTGGGGATGGGAACGGGACTTTAACACTTCGTTCTAGAACTACCTCCAACGTGTTCATCCAAGTTCTCTTGTCATTTTCCCCAGTAAGAATGCAGGTGTCAA